AATCAGAAGGTGGGAAGGCTCCCAGGAGTCAGGTAACGAACCAAGGATTATACAAAACTAAACGACACAGAAAACATGGAAAACTAAAGATAATGATCTGGCCCCGATAGCTGGACTGATTCCCTTTCACGGGTTGATGATTTTTGTTGAAGCCTGTAATACATCAAATATCTGTAGGCATCTAAACTTTAATAAGCCTTCAGGCTTTTTTCCTGAAAAAGTAAGATTGGTGATTCACCAAATAACTTTATAAGTCTTGGTAGACGAAGTCAGCAGTCTTGAATCTGTGAAATCAGGATAGCAGGCAAATTACACTTTTTGCAATGTTGCACTGTTTGAACTCCCCATCTGATTTTTTAATATTAACTATGAAAAATATTTAGACAATGTTGGGTTGGCATGTTCTCTTCTAGTTTTGTGCTATATCTCTTTAGTAAATATTTCACTGTATTATTATGGGGCACGCAGGTGGCTTTTATGCTGTCCAGCATGACGTGTAAACAGTCAGTGGTCACATGACTACATATCTTGTATAAAGGTGATCAGGGGTAAAAGCAGACGCAGATCTCAAGTCTAACAGCCAGATCAGGGCAGTTATTAAATCAAGTTTTTATCATTTGAGGCACCTGGCCAAAATAAAGTTAATTCTTTCAAGGCATCAGTTTTAATAGCAATCCACGCCTTTGTTACCACTTGGCTGGGTTATTGCAACGTCTCCTATGTGGGGATTAGTGCCTCCTCCATCTCTCTAGTTAAAAATGCTGCGGCACACCTTTCACACTCAAATATGAGCACCTCTTTCCCATTTTGAGCCTCACTCTACTTGCTGCCCATATATCTTAGAATACATAAAAAAAAAAGTTGATTTGCCTTTAAATCCCTGAATGGTCTTTCAACATCACTACTCTCTCTCTCTCAGGTCAGCTGATCAGCTAAGAGAGCCTAAAACTAAGTGGATAATCAGAGGGGACCATGGTTTCACCATTGCAGTTCCAAAGCTCTGGAACGACCTGCCTTAGCACATCAGGAAGGCCTCTTCTTTGACTGCTAATAAATCCTACTGTCAAAACTACGTTTTTGCTTTGGCTCTGACAGTGGGGGTTTATTTTATCTTTTAATTCCTTTTATCCAAATGTATAGATTTGATTGTGTAAATATTACTTTCACCCAAGTTGTTTTGTCTTTTATCTGTAATTTTTTATTTTTCTTTACCACACCTTGGTCAGCTGTGTTTCTTTTTATAAATGCTTAACAGATAAAATTGGATTGGATGTGTTCTTGATCCAACACATCTGAATAAAGTAATTAGATGATTAAAGAGGGCTCTAAAGAAATTGACTGATTTAAGAACATGTCTGAAAGTTGCAGGATAGCGGACTATCCCTATCCCTAAGGACAGAAGGACTGAAGTTTGGTCTGTAGGTTACCAGGTGACCAATCCTGGATGTCTACAAAACATGAAAGGAAGGTCAATGTTTAAACTGCATACTTTCTTAAATATGTCCAATACAGATGCTTTATTGTTTTATAATATAACAAGAATAAGAAAATTATTTATTTTAAAAAACAACAAGGAAAAGAAAGAGCATTTTATCACTCTCCTCGAAAAAAAAAGAAAAAACTTCAGGAGAATAGAGAATGGATTTAGCATAATAGTGATCCTCTTTGAGCCTCACTAAAAAACTAAATAACGAGGGACAGACAGAGGAAGTAGGCATCTCTCTCCAATATTTATGGAAAAAAAGAAAAAAAAAACTTAACTAGACAGATCTCTCTGAGAATATCCTCTCACTGCCTTAGTTAGCATATTAATCGTCAAACACCGTTTATTGCTGTTTTTTTTTTTTAAACGTAGTTCTTATGTTTTTTTTAATATAGGCATATAAGCATTCTTTACCATTTCTTGTTTGTGATGCTACACAGACTCATTGAGAGGGACTTTGCTTTATAGCTGCACCAGTGGTTTATTCATTTATTTGCTTAGTGGGCGCCTCTATATGCGCAGTCAGTGAGACAAGGAAAAAAATCGTATTGGAGATTTAAAAAGTCTTAGGCAACTGCAACTAGTGTGTGCTGACATTTAGTCAGTGCTAACCAACAAAGACGAGCCTTACAGAGTTTATTGTTAGTCCTCTTCAGGATGTTAATGTTCCCAGCACTCACAAATCTTTCAACTACAAAAATGGAGCATCAAACCCTAAAGTTTAAAAACTTTAACAAAGAGGTCTGACATACACAAGTAAATGTCTTGAAAATATTTCTTCTCTTCATGAAATAGTTTCTTAGACAAAACATTGTTTTGTATTATAATAAACCATTAAAGAAATATTTGATTGCAATTTCAAAAGTTTTGACCACAATTTATCTTTTAATTGAGATCAGTTTTTGTTATATTAAATGTAATCCATGCAGTTATTGTAGTTAAATAGAATAGTTGAATATGCCTCAGGTAGTATGAAAAGACGTGACATAGCCCTCTAGCTTTTTCCCGAATCAAAAACTGAAGTTCGAAGTTCACCTTTCATTATCATTCAGTTTAATGCAGCAGATCATTGAAACATAGCGCCTGCTGTTTACCACATACCTTCTGGTTGTTTGAAAATGTGTTTCAAAATAGTGAGATTGTTTTTGAAGTCTTTAGCTTTAACATGAAAACACTGATTCTGGTAAAAGCTATGCAGCGCTGGGTCATCATTGAGGAAACGTTTTACCCAGTCATAGTACAGCTTCATAGTCTTGTTGTCACCATCGCAGCTGGCAACAGGAATATCATCGACCATCACAAGAATCTCAAACTCTGAGAAGAACGTTAGACCAGTGGATCCAGTGAAGAAAAACTTCATTGAGTGTTTTTCTGTGTAGAAATGAAATGACAGCAAATGACTCAAAACATTCACAATTAATTGCATCCATATTCCTTAATAAATTAATAAGGAAAACCCTGTGGTGTGAAGCTGTACATTTATCTATAAATATCAGAGTTGAAGTCTGGTCTTATTGGCTGATAAAAACTGACAGAAGAAATATAACAACTTAATTTTGTTTCGCTCATCATAACAGCTTATCACTGTAATAACTATAATTTGTCTGTGATCAAGTGGAGCTGCTGCCTTTGTTGCTGTGGTTGTGTTAAGTGCAAGCTCTGACTGAAGTGTGTAGAGTTCCTAAATATTTTGGGAATTTCATCTTCTAACCAGAAAATAATACATATTTACTTTCGTCTTTTATGTAATAAAAAATAGGGAGAAATTTAACCATTAGTTTCTTTCTTTTAATAAAACCTCTTTGAAAAATAAAGAAGGGTTTCTTTCTAAGACGGGTTATATTATGATGAGAATTATTATGAGAAATTGAAAATAGATTT